CGATCGCATTTTCCCGCCAAAACACTTGTAAAAACCTTGTAAAATTTTCCCGTAAAAATTTTTCCCGCCAAAAAATTTTCCCGCCAAAAAAATTTTTTTGCGGGAAAAGTGATTCCGCAATTTTTTTTTTTGGCGGGAAAATTTTTGTCGGGAAAAATTTACAAGGTATTTTAAAGGTTTTACAGAGTATTTACAAGTGTTTTGTAAGGTTTTACAATGTATTTTAAAAGGTTTTACAAGGTACTTATAAGGTTTTATAAGGTATTTATAACTTGTAAAACCTTATAAAAAACTTGTAAAACCTTATAACTTGTAAAAACCTTATAAAATAACTTGTAAAATCTTATAATATCTTATAAATACCTTGCAAATACGTTGTAAAACCTTTTAAAATACATTGTAAAACCTTATAAATACCTTGGAAAAAACCTTTAAAATACCTTGTAAATTTTTCCCGACAAAAATTTTCCCGCCAAAAAAAAAAATTGCGGAATCACTTTTCCCGCCAAAAAATTTTTTTGGCGTTGGATTTTTTGGCGTTAAAAATTTTTACGTGAAAATTTTATAGGTTTTTACCAGTGTATTGGCAGGACAGTTGCGAATCAAAATCTTGCGGCCATGAGTCTCCGCTATTGCTGTTAGCGAATAATTTCAAAAATTCTTTGCTTGAGGTTTAAACACATTTTACCTCGGTTAGTCTCTGAAACACAATCGGCATTCGTTTCTTGGAGACTTATTACAGACAACATCTTATTAGCTCAGGAAATGTTTCATGGCTTACGGACTAATAGAATGTGTAGAACGGATTTCTTGGCAATTAAGACAGACATGAGCAAAGCGTATGATAGGATAGAATGGGACTTTTTAGAGGCAATTATTACTCGGTTGGGATTCAATTCTAATTGGGTTTCTTGGATCATGAGGAGTGTTAGTTCGGTCTCGTATCAGGTTTTATTGAATGGGGAACCTAGAGGAAATATCATTCCCAGTAGAGGTTTACGGCAAGGTGATCCCTTATCGCCTTATTTGTTTATTTTATGTACGGAGGTACTGATTGCAAATATTAAAAAGGCGGAAAAGGAGAAGAAGCTGACAGGAATTAAGATAGCGAAAAGAAGCCCAGCAATTTCACATCTGCTTTTTGCGGATGATAGTCTCTTTTTCTGTAAAGCGGATTCAGAGCAATGCAAAACGGTGATGGATATTATTGGGAATTATGGTAAAGCTTCAGGGCAAGAGATAAATCTCAGTAAATCATCGGTTATGTTTGGTAAGCGCGTAGCAAACCAAAAAAGAGATCAACTTAAAAACACCCTTGGAATCAGTAAGGAGGGTGGCATGGGTACCTATTTGGGTATACCAGAGAGCTTAGGAGGCTCAAAAAGTAAAATCTTTAATTATGTCCGGGAAAGACTTAATGAACGGATTAATGGCTGGTCAGCTAAATTTCTGTCGAAAGGTGGGAAAGAAACAATGATCAAATCAGTGGCTTTGGCACTACCAACCTATGTTATGTCTTGTTTTAAACTACCTCAAGAGTTAACTTCTAAGTTAACAAGTGCTATTTCTAATTATTGGTGGAGTTCCAATGGGAGATATCGTGGGATCCATTGGATAGCATGGGAAAAAATGTGTAAGGATAAAGAAGAAGGAGGTTTAGGCTTTCATTCCCTAGACATTTTTAATGATGCCATGTTGGCTAAACAGTATTGGCGTTTAATCCAATATCCGAACTCTTTAGTAGCTCGGGTGCTACAAAGTAGATATTTCAAGAATATTCATCCTTTACAGGCAAAAAAACCAAACTCTCCATCATTTGGATGGAAGAGTATTTTTTCTACTAAAAGATTAGTTGAAGTGGGAGCTAGATGGTCACTAGGATCGGGTTTCAATCTATCGGTATGGCGAGATCCTTGGATTCCTGATGTTAACTCATGGCCCGCAAATGGAAGAGGAAAAACTTTACTTCCAAGTTTGATGGTTAACCATTTAATTAATCCGGTTAGTAAAGAATGACACCATCCTATTTTACAAGAATTTTTGGATCCAGTGGATATTCAGTTTATTAGGGGATTGGCTATTAGCAAAGTTTATAAGCCAGATAGGCTTATCTGGCATCATACAAGATCGGGAAGATATACAGTAAAATCAGGCTATCGGGTTGCTAGAGAGATGACAGAAACGATCGAATGGGGCCCGAATTATAAGAATTTACAAGCACAAGCTTGGAAAGTCAAAGCCCCTCCAAAACTAAAACATTTCTTATGGCAAATTGCTACGGGATCTCTAGCAGTTACTTCAAAATTAGCACATCGATGTGGAAGTCGGATTCACACACTCAAGTATTTTTATTAATAGAAAAGATTATTCTTGAGGGACAAAAAATAAGAACGTAAAAGGCTTATGAATTGCTACAAAAATTAATATAGTATTTCTTCCTCAAGAGAGAGAGAGATCCCTTACATGGCCATTGGCCTTTATATTTATACATAGAAAAACGACATTTAAATGGCTAATTAAGTACAATTATTCTCTCTTAAATGTGTCCGTTTTGATCTTTGGTTTTAATGCTCAACGTTCGAATTTGAGTTGATTCTGATCTTCATGGGCCTCGCCTTTTGACCCAAATATCCTTGGACCGACTTAACCATGACCTCGTCTCCGGACTCGTGTCGAGGTGCAGTCACTTCGAATTCTCCTTATGGTGATAACCACTTCGATTGTTCTTCTGACTCGTGGGTCTGATGGGCTTTATCCTTTATGGGCCGCTACCCTGACTACGTGGCAATCTTTGGTTGGTCCTGGACCTCTGGTGCGGGATCCGACACCAACAATTAGCCCCCCAAGTTCTTCGAACTGCCATTCCAATTCGGAGGACTTTAAATGCTTAAATGACCAAAGATTGCGCTCGAGAATCTTTCTGATTTCCCGCCGAAAATCTCATCACTCCATTAATTTCAGCACTAGCATTTTTACCCGAATAACATCTGTCATCATTATGACCGTATATTAATTAATTACTATTAAAACGGGAAAAACTTTCCCACTTCCCACACAACTTCTGAGGCGGTTCCATTATTTAGCTTGTGTAAGGTAACTTCTTTTCATCATCATTTTCTACTTTTACATTTGCACTTTATTCGAAACTTCTCTCTTCTTTTCCTTCGCCAAATTTCTCTTCGTCGGATCTCGAACCTTTCATTTTCCCCAATGACTTTTGATTCTGAAAGACCTGAATCTCCGTCATTCGACGATAGGCGCCCTAGTAATGACGAGTGCACTCGCCCTAATGATATTGCCGGTCTGCACTATAGATCCACTTGTACTCTTCAATCCC